GAGACGCTTTGACAGATCCATTTCGACGAGCTCAAACTCGGTTATCCAGTATGGTATCTTCCCAATTAATATCTTCCCGAATCCAATATTAAGCAACAAGTCCCAGACAAGCAGTTAGCCGACCCGAACCTTAAATATTGGATTCTATGTGTAATCGCGTGCACGAGCAATTTTTAGAAATTTCCGCATCTCCTTCATGGCAGAAGATCCGACAGTCTACGTCCGAATTCAACATACGAAGATTCAAGATCCTAACATTCCATATCTCTTTGCACTTCTCGATTAGTAATTTTCATGCACTGTGCAGGCGATTACTACTTACTCGACTTATAAACAATACATTCTACATCATTTCCATCTCCTTTATTCTCATCAAATTCATCATTTTGTATTCTAAAATATTGATAATATAGATTAGCACTTGCCTTTAAGCAATTATTACAAAAATTTTTTTATTTTGCGAATTTTAGAATGAACTAAAATCACCATCTAGAATATCTTATCGTTATAGGTGTGTGAAATTTTGCAAGCTTTGTGAAAACTTTATGATTAAAATATTGCAAACAATAGGTACATTTAGATTTTCACGTTAACTTAACAATTTTAGTTTACTCTTGTCTAATTAAATAAAATTAAATAAAAACAATGATATTGAATTTATTTATACAAACAAACACATACATGCATACACAAGCACGCAGGCACGCAAACATCGCACACACATACAACGCGCGCGCGCACACACATACACAGACACACACAGAAACACGCACAAAACATTGTGCAGGCGTACGCACATATATATATATATATATATATATATATATATATATATATATGCGCGCAAGCATGTATTAGTTAGTTAGCTAGTTAGTTAGTTTGTGTGTGTGTGTGTGTGTGTGTGCGCGCGCGCGTGCGTGTATGTATGTATTATATTTTTAACCAAATAATGCATTAATAATATTTAATTTATGTCTATATTTGACTTACATCATATTTTTAAGATTATCTCACTTCAAACTTTTCTTAACTCCTTCTATACATTTTATACAATGTAGACTTACAAAAAGTATTGCATATTGCAATTCTATTGAGGAGCGACATTGCCACAATTTTTAAATATCGATTCTTTATAAATGTGTAAAATGTTCGAAAATTGTAATGACAACCTTCTAATATCTATCATAAAATATACAGCTAAAAAAGCATTCGTGTTGAGGCCGAATTTTGCTTAACAACGAACGCTAACTTCTCACAATTCAGTGACACTTGCATTTGTCTCTCGAATTTTATTATGCTCTCTGTTTAATGCAGCAGCAACTTTTTACGATTCAATATTTCCTGCGAATAAGTATTCCCAAAGAGGTCTAATGTAAGGAAAATACAATGAACAAAAAGAACAAAAACAAAAAAATGCATTTCCTCTATTAAAAATACCTAATGAACAATGATCGATTAAGAGACAAGCTGCATATACTTAATTACTTGTAATTGAATAAATAATCCAAAGATATAAAACAACGGATACAAGTTCGAATAAGAAAAGTGACGGAGGACGATGATAGAAGGGATGAGTGCATCATAATGTTACGCTGACTGGAAGAAACTTAGCTTTTACACTTCGAAGATCAATGACAAAATATGACGGAAAATTGGCGACGCCAAAAAAAAAACGGTATAAACAAAAAACAAAAGAGAACAAAAGAATTTAAAAAAATCAACTCAATCGCAAATTGATTTAAAGGCTACGTATTTGTCCTCCGAGTGGCGAGTGCATAGAAAAAAATATGTGATAGGACCTATCAAGAGGATCCTTGCAGGAATAATAATATCATTACTATCTAGATTGAAAATTATAAAAGGTAACACGGGAAATATGATTGTTCCAGAAATATTTATCTATTGATTTTAATCCATAGACCAAAGAACAGTGTTAACAAATCCTGAGGGGAATACTTATGTTTTTATGTTTTTAAGTACTCAAGGTGAATGTTCGCTAGTCGATGAAAAATTATGATATACTCGTTTTTTCCTTCTTTTCGCATAATAATATTTCGCGACTCGTAACATTAATTAATAATCTTGAATGACAAAACGATTGCAGAACTTATGATAAATATATAAGTTAAGAAGCAATTGATGAAACAAAATTGTTATTTACCAAGATTAACAAATAGAATCTGCGGCTTACCCCCCCCCTCAGCCACGCCAAAAAAAAACAAAAAAACACGATTTCATGAAACATTTATTCAAAGTATATTTTTATTTAATATTTGTTAAATTAAAATCGTTTTTAAAGTAACTCGATACATCGCCATTGCCAGTCATAATTAATAAATAAACGACTCGAGATAATCTTCGTACTTACAAGATTTACTTTCATACAAAGAACAAAAAGACCTTCGAATAACTTTGAATAATGAACGGTTGAACGATTTTCTCTCGCTATAGAAACTTTTACAAGTTCAACTTGCATTTTCTTCAAATTTTTCCCAAAATATCTCAATTTACAAATTTTACTTTCATTTTACAGAATGAGAAACGACTTATCGATCGAGTTAACCTCTTTTTTTTTTTCTTTTCTTTTTTTTTTTTTTTTTTTTTCTTTAAAGGTAACATCACCAAAAACGAACTGTTATATCCAAGACACAGTCCTTTCAATATTCACATACGTATTAGTCGAGTCTGATGGAAAGATCCTTTTTCATTCTCATCCAAAACTTTTTCAGCGATTTTTATCCATTGATTTTGTAGAAGAAAATTAATGAAAAGCGAAAAAGCGAAGATTGCAGACACTTTCTTACACGACAAAAAATTGATTAAAATCTCAAGCGTACTTTATACAATCGACAATTTTTCTTTTCGACGGCATGATCGCCTTTCTAAAAAAGAAACAATTCACTGCAGAAAAATCATTCCTTTCAATATTATTGCGCGATCGTTATAGAAGCTTCCGACAAGTTTTTTTTCCTTAATACGACGGATATATAGAAGCGACTTGTCAATCCAACACAACGCAAAAGTTCTATTTATACTACACAGCTTTATTGACACTCCACTCTTTTTTATAAATAAAATTTCGAGAAACGACTACTGTGTTCAGTACCTCGGGTACCTTCTTCTTCTTTTTTTTTTTTTTTTTTTTTTTTTTTTTTTTTTTAAACAAACATTTCTTTCATACTTAAAATTAATGTCATGCTTTTAATAATGTATAAGCGGATATGTACATAAAATGAAATTTCATCGTTACGTTTCGTTTCACATGTGCGTACAAACAAAAACAATACAAACATTTATAAAAAAAAAAAAAAAAAAAAAAAAAAAAAAAAAAAAATTAAAATAATAATAATAATAAAAATAACAATAAAAAAAAAACAGTTTTAAAAACATGTAAATTGTTAATAAATCTAAAGCAAATGAAGATTTTCTTCAAATTATTTTATCATTATCTTTGTGTGCTTACTCATTATAAATGATATACCGAATGAATTGAAAAAATAATTAGTAAAATGAGAGCTGTATACGAAATAATGGTCCTTCCATTTTATTCACGCGCGCATTATTTGTCATTTCATCTTTCACAATTGAGGCTAAAGAAAAATCACATAAACAAAAGAAAAAAGCAAAAAACAAAAACAAAAACAAAAGAAATCACAAAGTAGGCGAAGCACTGAACAATACGTTTGTATATAAAATATAAAAGTAGATTGATAAAATTGTGAAATAATACAATAATAGTTGTATGATATCCTAATACCCTTAATACACCAATGCTGTTACAATAAGATACTATGAAAAGTATAAGAATAGTGAATGTCAAAGATTAATGTCGTTCAGTCTGTTACTTCTCTTGTTGAACACTCGTTGAATCAGAATATTATTTAAACTAAAAAGAGCTCTAAGGTATTATAATAATGGCCCGTATCTTATAATCAATCAGCTTCTAACATTGAATAAATATAATTATTTTAACAAATTTCACGTCGATGCACAAAATCATCTACGTTGAATAAAGAAATGTAATTTGATTATAGTAAATGTCAAGCTATTGTAGTATGAGAAAATAAGAAGAAAATAAATGTTGGTCTTGGATCATTTATTCGTACATTTGAAGTTAGGGTAATGATTGAAAAATTTATAGGAATAATAATAATATTTATTAAAATAATAAAATGATGAAAGATTAGCAAGATAGGACTCGGATGACCGTCACGGATCTAAGATTCTAAGATCATCGACATACTACTTGTCATGTGCAAAAAGTCTTTTGAAATTATTTTACGTGCTCCAGCACTAAGGATGTTTAGAAGTGAATTTGAAGAAGAAAGTATAGAAATTAACGCTGTAAGGAATTAGAAAGCAGAAAAGATCCGTATACAAGGAAAAAACACCGAGAAGTGCTTTTTTTGTTTTTTTTTTGTTTTGTTTTTTTGTTTTGTTTTTTTTGTTTCGTTTTTTTTTTTTTGTTTTTGTTTTTTTTTGCATCTTCGTTACCCTCTTCCCTTCACCGTACCACCATACATATTCCACGAGGCAAACATTTTTGCCAATAGTAACAATTTCTCGTCCGTTCGATTCGCAAACTTCGCGCATTCGTACAGTTTATTTGTCTCGCTCAGCAACAATCACTTTCTTATACTCTTAGCCAGCTCATTATCAATCGTGATTTTAATTTCAGATGCTTTTTGTCTATTGTGTTTGTTTCCTTACTCAGCGGTAAAGCTCATGTAAAAGATCCTTACGTCAGCTTTGCGCAATCGAGCCTTCCTGGCTCGAGAGCCTCTGCCTTCTGAAGAATTCGACTTGTAAAGCACTTCGGAACACTCGAAAAGAGCTTCTACATTGGACCACCGATAAAAGAAATTGTTGAAAAGGGAGGGATAAATGTAGAAATCGTCAAATGACAAATCTCGGCAAAGGACGATACTGCAGAATTGTCGGTGACAGACATACACGTACGTGTCGAGAGTAAGCCATTATGGTTAGTTTTTTTTTTTTTGTTTTTTTTTTTTAAATAATATGCGTGTAGTTACAACGGTATAATTACTTAACGGTGATAGGCGGAGCGCGCGCGGATGAGAGATTCTTTGGAAGGGTTTCACAGTGCTTCGCTTTTTCTTAATTCATCTTCTGTAAGTTCTTCTTCTTCTTCTTCTTCTTTTCTTTTTCTATTATTTCAGCTAATGTCCAGGGACGTTCATCGCGCCTCTTTCGCCGTTAGCTTCTCTATGAGCTCCTGCAAGGGAGCCAGCTCCCGTCGTTCAATCAGATTAAATTCCTGAAAACCACGAGACGCTCTTAATAACGAAGGAAAGTTACTTAACTAAGGAGTGGCATCATCCTTTTTTACGTAGACTCAATTAATAAATGAGTTAATTAATTTATTTATACAAATTATTTAAAATTAATGAAATTAAGGTGTTTAATTAAGATCTGGGAATTAGCATGAAATGTTCTTGTAACGTTTCTGCTTCACTGGCATAAAGCTGTATACAAGTATCATTTAGTATAAGCCGTTGTATCTTTTCGCATAATACAAATGCTGGAATACGTAAACTGATTTTTGTATGTTCATATCAGATAATTTTTGTTTTATTTCATTAACAGACATGTAAATTGACACTTTCATAAATTTACTACTAATAACTACATTAATTATTAATATTATATACTAAATACTAAAATTTTTTAATAGATATATGAAATATTTTATTTTATTCTCATTTCTAATTTTATTCTCATTGTATATTAAATTTTCCCAAAACTATTTTCAAATCAGTCAACTTTAAATCCCACATTAATGAGACATAACTCGTTACGTACCTGAACAAAGAATATAAAGTGTTTGAAAGAAGTATTTAAATGTGCTTCTTCGCCAAGCTGAACAACTTCGCTAAAATGTTGATGATAGATGTGTGCATAAACTCGAAACAGTCGTTTCAATATTGTCTTTGCAATTGAAAGAAAGTTTTTTGGAAAAGGTACACCTAAAATGTTACAATCCAGACACTGTATTCTTCTAGTTTATGTATAAAGATATCGGACAAAAGTATATTACCAATTTTTGAAGGAAAAAGTGTCTCGTCATCCAGCTGATCTTGCACCCATGTCATCAAATAATCAATGTACTTAGGCGCTGAACACTTAATGGGTTTCTTTACCGTGTGTCCGTCAGCCCAATGATATTCATATTTTGGTCCAGCTGACATAATTGGACAGCTATCTTCGGTGCAAAATTCTGTGATAGTTCCGTACAACATATTTATTTGATTGAAGAAATCTACAGCTATAAAACAAATTTCAATATTATTTTCATTCTTAAATAATTCTATTAAATGAAATGTAATGTTAAAGTCAATTAAAAATTTCTTCCTCTTCCCTTTGCCTATTTTTGCATTAATATACTTTGATTTAATTTTTTTTTTCAATACATTCTCATATAAAATAATTTATATTTCAGAAAATTGTTCAAAACAAATAGATGATTCTTATGAAAAATGAAAATTTGAATTAGAGCTTTACAATCGTCTGGTAAATATATTTATATTGTGCTATCATATCTTTATTATTAATGAATTTATTCCTAAACTTTTATTCTCATTATCAATTATCTTATTTTATTTTTATTATTATTAGCAAACTCTCTAATTCAATATTTCTAATAGCATATACGGAATTCTGTTAGTGCTATTATAAAAAAAAAAAGCTTGTCTTATCGTATGATAAATACATAGAATGAACTTTTTCCAGAAAATTACTTTTAGTATTAATAAAAATTGTCCAAATGCTAATTATTTTATTCGCAAATAATTTGATATAAGAATCAGCACTACTGTATTTAATATTTCTTATAGATATTAACGTATTGTCGTACGCCGCCTTTCAAACTGCTATTCCATATGTTCCAGTCGCAATCGATAAAGCTTTAAAATATTACTAATTTTACTCACTATTAACAGCAACCCATTCGTTTAAGTCTTCTCCTTCCGGAAGCATAACAGCCAGACGAAGGTTTCCTGATCCCAGAGTAGCAGCTGCATGTTTCATTAAGTCATACTGATGAGTTCCTTCTGGAATATTCTTCTTTGGCTTAAAAGTCTTTGAAGAACGGCTTCCACTACGTAAAATAAATCGTCTCAGCATTACCAGAAACATTAAACATTTAATAAGTATCTTCCCTTGCTTTTTTTGTAAAACAGATTTCGAATATAATATCTATAATGTAAGCAGTTTAAAATAAAGTTGCAAATCTTTGAAAACATCTCTCACAGAGAAAATCAAAGATAAATAGTACCCAAGTCTGTACAAGCGCGTCAGCTCTCTCATTTCATCAATTTAACTGACATAAGTTTCGGTCTCAAAGAAGGTTATCAGTTCATCACAAGTGGAACAGCCGTAGATGAGAAAACTTGTGTATGTATTTATTTTTTCTCTTTTATCAAGAGGGTAAAAAAGTATTCTGCTCTATTTAAAATCATGTAAATAACAAAGGCAGATAAGTATAGAAGGACAGTAATTTTTAATATAACCTTATTTCATTTCCTCTACAGGAAATACTGAATTATTGATGAACAAGTTAAAAATGATACCATAACATATTTTATTTAAATGATAGTCAAAAATTATTTCACTTTTAATAACATATATTTTTCATTTGCATAAGTAAAGCAAAACAAATTAAATTTAGTTGGTTTTGACAATTGGTATTGAAAATTGATAAATAGCAGGAGTTCCTTTGATTAATTTTTTTTTTTGTTTTCTTTTTTTTTTATCAAAATTTGTAATTTTTAAGTATAAAATATATAAGATTAAAGACCATTATATAATCACCAATGATGTCATTAATTTTAAATGGTCTATTTTTACTTAGTAATGATACACTAAGTACATTTATGTTTATTCGATGACATTAAAAATGTAAAGATTCTTAAATTGAAAATTATGAAAGAAGCTTTTGTCCCTGTTAATAATTATTTTATTTATAAATATATTTCTACTAAATCAGAAATAAAGCTATGGAAAAAAAGAATACAAAATTGTGAGTCAGAATACAAAACTTGAGATCACAGAGAAGAGAAAGAAAGCTAAACCCGGCTAATTTTTAATACAAAACTGACAATTCCAATAAGTACTTAAATATTCATTAAGTTTAATTTATTTTATTAATATCATCATTCCTTATTAGTTTCTTTATTAAATTACAAAATTAAATATTTTAAAATAATTGTTGCAATAAATTTGTACAATTGTTGAATTTCAAAAAAGCTCTTTTATAATATTATGAAATTATAAAGACAGATGTAAATAATTCAATTAACTAATATTTAACAAAAATTAGATATCAAAGTAAAAAGATTAAAAAACTTTAATCACCATTGCTTGAATCACAATTGATTTAAATAACGTGAAAAGTGTAATAAGTTTAAATGAAAGTGAAAGACTTTAAAAACTTTTTTTTTTTTTTTTTTTTTTTTTTTTTGAGACGGAGGGGATTCTTTTTCACGTCACAATCGTACATAGAATAGAAAGCAAAGAATATAATTCACGTCGAGCGCACACGTAAACTCAGGTCAAGAACCTAGAGAGAGAGAGAGAGAGAGAGAGAGAGAGAGAGACAAAAGAACTTTGGAGGCTCGATTATTTTTCGCAGACGATAAATTCATTATTGCGAGAGAGAGAGAGAGAGAGAGAGAGAGAGAGGAAATGTCTATAAAAATCACTGTATTGCGTTCCTTTTCTGAGCACTCGTGCAATTTTTCTCGCTTTCTTGATTCAATTCCCAATTAGAAAGTCTCTCGGTAATTCTCATTGTTTCATGTCTCTTATCAGACGTAATAAAATAATAAAATAAAAAAGCACGAACAATTGTCTTTGATGAAAAAAAGCAACGGGAAGAGGATAGGTGTCAGAGAAAGCGAGAGAAAGAGAGAGAGAGAGAGAGTGCGTGTGTGTGTATGCCTGCATGCGCGAGGGAGAGAGAGAGAGAGAGAGAGAGAGAGAGAGAAAGAGCGAGGGGGGGGGGCAGAAATAAATAAGACTAAGCCGTTGCAGGCAAATACGAATCCAAAGTGGACAGTATCAATTCAATTCGTATCAGTCTACATTAGCCTGTTTGCTCCTTTTATCCCACTAGCACCTTTCCTTTCTCTTTTCTGACTTTGTTTTTCGCGAGCGAAATTTACCAGATGAAAGGAAGGCAGGCAATGGTCGGTGCGGCGTGGCGGACAGTGACGAGGTGTCGAAGGGCATGGGGAGGGAAAGGGACGAGGAGAAACTCGAGGAAGAGAGTTTAGGATGTATGGACGATGATATATACAGACAGTCAGACAGACAGACAGACAGGTAGGTAGGTAAGTAGATAGGTAACTAGGTAAGTAGATAGGTAACTAGGTAGGTAGATAGGTAAGTAGGTAGGTAGGTAGGTAGGTAGGTAGGTAGGTAGGTAGGTAGGTAGCAGGCAGGCAGGCACGTACCCAAGATCTCGGAAAAACAAATTAAGGCCTAATAGTATTTGAACAAGAGGGCTATGGGGGTATTGGGATGCTCGGGTGCGTCTCTAGACGACGACAAAACACAAAACTCACAAGAGGAAGCTCATCGTGACGGGAAGGCGGCCGAGGAGAAGCGATCCGGGCAATTGCCGCGCTCTACGTCGTCGACGTCGTTGCTGGCCACTGGTGGCACTGCTGTGTGCCGCATAAAAGGGGAGCTGACCAAGCAGCCGAACGGGACAACAGCAAGCGGAGATCGGGGGCGCGCGTAGCCCACGGCAGCTCGCGAATAGTCTCGCTATCTTGCCCGTCCTTAGCCGCGTCTCGTCGTCCTCGTCACCGTCGCCGTCGCCGCAGCTGCAGCCGCCGCAGCCACCGCCGACGCCGCCGACGCCGCCGTCCTTAACCTCGACTTTATTAACGAAAGCTCGAGTGATGCTAATGCCGCCGCTATTGCTACTGTCGTCGTCTTCGTCGTCGTCGTCGTCGTCGTCGTCGTCGTCGTCGCCGTCGTCGCTGCTGTCCCGTCGCCGCCGCCACCGCCGCCGCAGCCGCCGCCGCCGCCGCCGCCGCCGCCGCCGCCTTCTTCTTCTCTCCTCTCCTTTCTTCGGAGCTCGCGCGCGCGGCAGCCGTCTCAACGAATTCGTCCAAGCATATAGACAACGTGTGTGACGCACTCTCTCTCTCTCTCTCTTTCTCTCTCTTATTCTCCTTCACGAAGGTGTGCGCACGACCTGCGTGTCCGCCTCGGCCGTCTTTCTATCCTGCACTAGGAGGAGTGCGCACACCTCGGCGGCATCGACTCTGCATATTCCCCGTGATCGCTTAGCTCCGTCTCCCTCTACTAGCGCTTGCGAATGACGTCTCGTTCCCTCTATCTACTCTCTGCCCCCCCCCCCTTCGCTACCACGCACACGCGTACGCCACTCCAGCTCGCTCTCGGTCTCTCTCCATCCCCCACCCCACCTACCCACCCACTCGACCGCCTAACCCCACTCCGCTTCTCGCGCCATTCGTCGTCGTCCTCCTCCTCCTCCTCCTCCTCCTCCTCGTCTCTCCAGACTTCATTTGTAGGTGTACGGTAGTCTCGATAACCGAGAGTCTTTCTGTGTGCGTGTTTTCATTGTTGTGTTATGTCGGTTTTACACCGGTCGACACTTACTTCGCTTCCTACAGCGTTAATAAATGAACATGCCCGAATGTTTTGTCACCGCGTGGATTATTAATCGCTCGGCAAACCGATTCCATTACGTATTTGAAAAAACGCATGAGTAAAGCGCAGCATTTTTCACGTTTGCGCGATACGATACGAGCCAAGTGGACTTGACTTCGAGAAGGCGACTTTAAATACCTTCCGCTTGTTTTTAACGTCATTGTTAAATTTAAAAGCACAGACTCCGTGTCCGACGTATTCGTATTTACCTGCTTATCGTAGGCTTATTCGCCGGTGGCTGGCTGCATGGGTGGACCCATTATTATCATTATACGATTTCATTTTGGCATTGATTGAGAATTACGTGTAATAATACCTGTAATATACCTAACTTAACGAGCTATTACGCGCTGCTTTATGCATATTGTCGCTAATAGTTGACATAAATTATTTTATGATTCATGGTTATGAGATTAAGGATACGATAAATTGACACTTATATTAAAGATTATTTATTGGCTTTGTCAACTAGCGGTATAATAAATTAACAAAACGCTAATTTGGGCATTATTGACTTAGCCCAGATTTTACCTGAGCAAGCTCATCTGATAATCGCTAAGCAAGAGCTTAACTAAAGTCACACTGACGTTAATGAAATTTAAGCGACAATTTAACAATATGTCATGGTGATATATATTTTGACGACGAATGAACAATTCCAGCAAGAGCCTTTTGACTCTGCGCCCATTTGAAATTAAAATTTATAAATTATTATCGAATTTAGGGCTGCAAAAAAGAAAACAAAAAAAAAAAATTTGAAACGCGAACAAATTTGATTCGCCAAATTGTTATAATTATTAGCATTTACATTAATTAAAATTATTTATAGAACATGCGAGTATTATAAGTTGACTTACGGGGAAAATAAATTAAATCGGCCAAGGACAAAAAGTAAAATCTTATAAATTATGCAGGCTAATCCAATTAATAAGACACGTAAATGAAAGTAAGACATAGATAAAAAATTAATATTACTAAAATTAATTAATATTACGGTTACTATTCGATATATATAAAATAAATTTTTTATTGGTTTTTCTTTTCTTTTCTTTTCTTTTCTTTTTTTTTTTTTTTTTTTTTCGTTTTCATGTGACAACCATAGAAATTGAATGGGAAATTAGCGCCACAAGATCTAGGAAAGATCTAGATAAATTGGGAATCTCGAATTCTCGTTATAAAATATTAATCAAGTATTTATCTGTATTCACCCGCTATAATAGTATTTTTTTTTAGCTGAACAAGGAAAAAGATAAAGAAGAAGAAGAAGAAGAAGAAGAAGAAGAAGAAGAAGAAGAAGAAGAAGAAAAATCGCCTATGAATTCATGAGCGTATAATTTCCAATTTTACACAAACTTTAAAGCTATGATTGTTGCATAATACACGTGTGCCCTTTAAACATGCAAAATTATGTTAAATTTAATGCTTCTCTTATTTTATCAATTTGTATTTGATTTACTCCTCACCAAATGACTGATTATTATTATTGTTATCATGTATTTATTTAATGTTTTATTACATATTCTCTAAAAAATAAAATTTGATCACTCGTATGATCTTTTCATTTTTTTTTTTTTTTTTTTTTTTTTTTTTTTTTTTCCAAGTAAGACGATAAAGTGAGGTGTAAAGCGAACTTAGTTAAAAAAAAATAATCAATGTTTTTTTTTTGTTTAAGCAAGTACTATGTGGTTTCTTTTAGACCCCGAACTGGTGTTTGGTGTCATCGTCAACTATTGTATGACACTTGGATACTTTTTTTTCTTGACAGGATTCAACAATATCCATTCGATCTCTTATAAGCAAAGCTGCATAAATGTTTGCTTCTCGTTGATATTTCGAATATTAATATTTTAACTAACCAGTGGACGACAATCTTTATGCCATTGAATAAAAAAAAAAGAAAAAAGAAAAATGAAAAATAAATAACGACGATTCTTTTGTATAAAATTCGTAAATTTAAATAATGTCGTGCTATTATGATTACTTTTGTTAGCAAAAAATTTTTACAATCTATCTTATTGGCAATGATTAAATATTATCTTATAATACTCCTATCCTTTATAAACAAATGATAATTAACGGTGTATTATTTAGTGATTTTAATGTACTTTAGCTTGTGCCTAAAGATCTTATCCCGGCATTTAAGTTTAGCCATTTAAGTATGCCATTAAAAGCTATTTAATTACTTGAAAAGGTCACGATTAGTCATTTGATGTCGTTCACTATTGGAAATGAAAAATCACTTTCCTTTGATTTTATTTCGAATTTATTGTACCGCTAGTTTAGCTATCGTAAATATCTCTCAATTGTAAGCAGATAAACGCACTTAATGCGCAAATTATACTTTGTAATGTATACGAAGAGAGGATAACATTGTTTTGCGCATACTTAAAACGACCTTAAAACTTTATGAAACGCTTACACGCGCTGCTTTGCTAAACACACATTACATATACGGAGGCATTCATTCATTTACGGAAGTGATGATAAAGACCGATGCCGTTATCTCAAAGTACGAAAATAACTTTAATTTCACTGTAATTATTGCAGCCACTCGGTCAGATAGGAGAAGGAAACAGTAATCGGAGCCAGTAGTCGTCCATTATCCGAGTCCATGCATTTTTCTATTCGAATAACATTTCCTACTTTCCGCGAGCCCCTGACACCCCCCCCCACCGCTCCGTCGCTCCGTTGCCACGCTGTTCCGTCAATCGTTTACTAAGGTAACGAAGACAACGAGGTAATATTAGAGAGAATGGAGGGCTTCGCTTTCAATGCTAAAAGACCGGATAAATATCATCTCACCCCTGCCAGGATGAATATAGTGGACAAACACCTTAATACCTCGGCCGCGTACCGCGATCCCCTCCCCGCTCTATGCCACCCTCGGCCTCCTCACCCGGTCACTCACTGTAGTCGCGCCACCGCCATCATCACCACGACGAGCTAAAAGAAAAGAGAGAGAGAGAGAGAGAGAGAGAGAGAGAGAGAGAGAAAGCCGAATCGTGAGCAAGGCTACAGTATTTCGCATGCATCGGTTTCGAGTGTCAGGGGCGGGTGGATTGGTTAGCGAGGGAGGTGGGGAGAGGTGGAGAGGACGTCGACGACGATACCGCATTAGAGGTAGGTGCCAAATGAACAGCCGTTGACCGAGGGCAAGAGCAAGCGAGAGGGACGAGGTGCACCGATTCTTCTGAAGCACTTAATGCTTATGAACGGGCGAGATTGAGCACACCATTGACTGTTGTCGTTGCGGACGATGGATTTTCCTGGCCGCGCCCCCGATGACAACGCGTCACCCACGGTGCACCCGTGGTTACGCTCTCCCGGTCCTATGTTTGTACACTCTGCCTCCCAAAGAAAATTAACACGGGGCAGTCGAGGAGACAGCTTTCTCTCTGCATCTTATGTAGCTGACTTCACGATTGCGTTGAATTAGGGAAAATTTGTACAGTAAGGTAAAACGCTCAAAGGCACATGCGACGCTCGAATATTTACGGGAATCGTATTGTTAATTTTCATTAGTTAAAGCGAGGCGCGTACTGCATTCCCAATTATAAGAAATGCGTTTGATGAAATAATTCTAATCTTTAATTCAGCGCTTAATTACATGTACGCGCGCGCGTATTTGCATATATTTACGATCGCCGTGCTCTGCTCCATTCTAATAACAATGTTGCTAATTAGCATTTTACGAGAATGATATCATACCCTCCCTAATTGTTTTTTTTTTTGTTTTTTGTTTTTTTTTTTGTTTGTTTTTATTGTACTGGTAAAATTTAAAGAAAAAAAGAGAGATAAAAAGAAGAAGACAGAAGGGGGAATTGTGAGAAATTATTATTACGAGCGTTACGACAAGAGAACTGCAAGGTGAAAATGTACTTTAAATTGAAATATAAACAATAATGAATGGGCATTTGCGTACATTTAACTTGGATAATATGGAATTGTCGGTATGTCTGGCCATTGCTATATGCATGATAAGTAAGCTTTTTGAATTGGCCCTGCGATTCAAACACACATGTTTTTTTTATCTTCGAACCAGGTAAAACGTCTGTCACGACGCATTATTTATTGCTTCTTCTGACATTTCCAGCATCATGCCTATGATATTTTTCGAAATTTCTCCGCGCTAAATGTAAATGTTTTAACGAAAATCCAGCGAGGCTATTATTAATTAACGCCGCCTATCCACTTTAAAGCAAAAATCAATAGATATGCGAAAATAAGCGAAAATACGGCCGGTATTAAAAAAATATAAAAAAAAAAAAAAGTAGAAGAATGGTCTTTAATAAAAAGGCAGAAATTGTAAAATTAATATTAACTCAAACTGCAACGATAATGTTAACGATGGATAATAATGGGACCGGCGAATTTAAAGCAACGAATGCACTCGATCGATATTTATTGAAAAAGTGAGATTGAATAATATTTGAGTAGGAGCAGTTTTTGCGGACGACACCTGCCTATCAAACTATCTCTCGTTATCAATTCGAGAGCAGACTAATAAATTGAAGTGTACGTATATTTAAAGGATCCATTTAAATTATATGTGTAGAAGCATTTGGTTGTCAGGGAGTATATGGCCGCGACGGCCCATCTTCATCATCATCCTCCTCCTCCTCCTCCTCCTCCTCCTCCTACTCCTACTCCTCCTCCTCCTGCTCCTCTTCCTCCTCATGCCGCCCTGAAGCTTCATCCCCAATTCCAAAAAGTAAGTCTAGGCTATATAAAACGATGGAGTTGGAGGTCTAGGTAAACCCGATATATATATATATATATATATATATATATATATATATATATATAGAGAGAGAGAGAGAGAGAGAGAGAGAGAGAGAGAGAGCGAGAGAGAAGGCCGCTCAGACGCATCATTAATCGCTCGATAAAAATAGTTCCAGTCATTATGGCATTGCGTCGACCGTTGCACAATGGATAAACTCTCGTCGCACATTCCCATTGCTCTTGCGGATCGTGCCCAATCCTAAGAAGCGTCGTCGGGTGCCCGGAACAGCGGAATCAGCGGCGATCGACGAGCGGTAACGCGAGAAACGGAAAAAGCGCGCGCGCTCTTTTTTCGCATCGGTGCGCCACTACAGCGTATGGACTGGCAGGGAGGATGATGAGGCGGGGTTGGTGGAGGGCCAGGGGGAGAGAAAGCGCGCAAGAACGGCGGCAGTCGGTGGAGAACAGCATGATAATCCGAGGGGATAGCGAATGCTCACGCTAAAATGGGCAAATTTCGTTATTGCACGGTATCATAACAAACGGCTCGCGTCGTTGTCGTAGTCACTTGCCGGGAATGCACGCGAGATACTACTGAAGTTGCTTTTTTTTTTTTTTTTTTTTTTTTTTTTTTTTTTTTTGTTTTTTTATTATCACGCCAATTAATTTGACGAGTAGGTGCAATTTTACGATGGATGCGCTGCTGCCCTCGGAAATCGCGAGATTAGTCCTTGGTGAGTGTATATATAGTAGAAGAAGCCTTTGAAGGCGACAATAGTTTAACATGTCAACTCATAACCTCATAGTTGATAAACGTCAACAGAGTTATTAATCCAGTATTTTGTCGATCGTAAAGCGAATTTTGTCCTCCATTCTTTACCCGTATGGATTCTTGTATTGTGTAGTTTCCCTTGGCGAGTTGTCCCATTTCTCTTAGTAGAAGACGCCCCTATTTGTGACAAGCAATTTTCACGAGTTCCCAAGCACTTTATCGACTTGTAATTTATTCCTTCACGTCGCTTCATTGCGATTATCATACTCTTCAAAGTCTTAGCAATCACGAGACTCGAATATTTAAAACAAAGAAAATGTATGCTTAAATATTTATGTCTTGCAGTGTTATGAGTTCTTGGTTTTATATTTTACAATAATTCAATGACTTAATATAGTTGTTAACATCGAATAAACTAAATAACAATAACTTTAGGATATCTCCAAGATCAAAAATGCGAGGAAGCGGCAAGAATATTTATGGATACTTCGCCGCTTTTACAAGAATGTCGATTAGTATCGCAAAGAGGTAGGAGATACAGTACAAAAGTAGGTGGTTTAAGTTTAATGGATATCTTGGATAAATATTGCGCTACCAATGCAATGGGTAAGCAAAATATATAAGTGTTTGTTAAAAGTTTTTGTAAAAAGTTGTTAATTGTCGTCTTTATTTGATTAGTTCAAGAGAAACTCGATAAAGTATCAGATTGTGATCAATTAAAGCAATGTAACGACATAACAGAGCAGCTTAGATATCTTTTGGAAGGGTCAAGAGGACATCGTTTTGTAGTTAATATTAGTGTACCATCCCAGGTATTTTTTTTATGTTTTTTTTATATTAAATATGTTATATACAATACATTATATACATTATATACATTATATACATATATATATATATATATATATATATATATATTTATATATTTATATAATAATTGTTATATTTGAATTGTAGAACTCGCCATCCGGAACATTTGGATCTCCAGTTATATCCGGTAGTATGAAAAAGAGACATCATAGTAATAGTGAACGAGGAAAACGTGTTGTAAAGTCGTTGAATAATTTTTTGGAAAAACCAACTCAGAAATCATTGGCTCAAAGTAATGTATACTTTTTAAATATTAGAAAAGTTGTAGTATGGTTACTGATGTTTGAAAACTACGTACGCATCTAATAAATATAAATTCTTCAACATTGTTCTTACGGTTTATATATGAATTTATTTCAATTTGCATTATATATTGATATTTCTTTTTATGATTAATGATTATGATTATGATTAACCGTTGGACAGTCTTAGTACTTAATCATTCAATTAGTGTTAAACGATGTTCTATGATATTAATAATGTAGAAAAAAAAACAAAACAACCCATGAAAATATTAGAGAATTAAGAATAAATTCATTAAACGTAAAATAAATTCATTAAACGTAAAATAAATCGATATACGTTTATGATAAAACAGGCAAAATTTATATTCAATATAAGTTTTGAAACTGACATACTTTAATTTTTCTATTATTAATTTAAATTTGGTGCAGTAATTTTCAAGCAACGTTTAATAATGACTAAAATAAATTAATCGATAGTAATACACTGAAATTGTTTGCTTTTCAGGTTGCGATACAATTGAAGCAACACCTCTTGAAAGCCTACCAGGTCATCAGATTTCAAACAATCAATTTGAAATAGAAAATAATGTAAATACTTTATGTACTAGAACCCCAACAAAATGTGATGTTATAAATTCTTTACCAGAAAGTAAAATTGATGGCCCTATTGTAAATGATGGGATCACACCTTTGGGTAAGAGATTTTCATTCTTCCAATAGTTTTTTTAATAACCACTCGCCCATTAATTCAACCTCTGTCTATTCTTCTATTAGATCTAAATTTAATAGCTTTGAATTCAAATACATTTAATATTAATCAAAAAATCCAATCTCCAGAAATTGTGCAAAATCATGAATCGTATCAAATTAAAAATAAGTGCACAGCAGGAACTAGTACGGAAGAATTATTGAATTACTGTAACACTGAAGTACAAACGGGACCTTGTGATTTACTGGAATCTGAATCAGATATAAATGACGAACCAATTGAAAATTTGAGCGTAAGTTTCCATAACAATTACTAATATCATTAAATAGATAATTGAATATAATTTGATACGATGCTATAAATGAGCCATAAAAGAACAACAATGAATGCTCATACATTCTATCACAAAAGATAAAGCTCATTTATTACCTTTTGTCTCTGAAAATTTACAGATGCTAACCAAAAAGTTATTACAACGTACTGAATTACATGAAAGGATTGCTGAAAATATCAACAAAGCTATTCTACCCGTTGAAACGTCTTGTCGCGAAGAAAATGTTTACGAAAATGCTGCAGAAGCGAATATGTCATTATTGACGGATTATGACAATGCTATTAAATCGGTTGTTCAAGCCACAGAAACGGATCCGATTTTTGAAGGATTTCTACATGAAATTTTTAAGATTGGCGAGACTGACACAAGTCCAGATGAGGATGCTGATATTAAACAACATCAAGAATTAACTTATTCATCTTGCGCCCAGTAACTAAATAATATATATATATATATATATAGATACATATAAATATATGCATATATGCAATACATTTTCAATAATACAATGTTCCATTACTTATTGTTAAATTCGCTAGAAATATAGAGCCAATGCAGATTGACGATAACAATGAGCAAATTGAATTACAAGAATTGAAAATAAATGGCCAAGAATCTAGCGGTTTTGAAGTACCATTAAAGCAAAGATTGCGCAGTTCATCACGATCTCAAAACACTAACGTCGACGACGAAGAGTAATATTAATTATTGTACACGCGCGTACACGCACACGCACGCACGCACGCACGCACGCACGCACGCACGCACGCACACACAATAATACATAGAAAACATATTAAATTTTATTAAGGTTTCAAAAGGGATTAGCAATCTCTTAATTTTATATTATTGTTTATTTTAGGAAAGAAAGCAACAGTGTCTTAGAAAATCAAAATGCCGAAGCAATTATGAATATTGTTAACGTGATCGCCAATAAAAGAAATTCATTAATTAATAACGAGCTTGATACTCAACCCGTTACCGACACGATTGTAGAGAATACAATTGTTAACGAGCCCCTAAACAATCTAAAGACAGAAATTGAGAAAATTAGCGATGAAAATAAAATAATCAATAACAAGCCACTTCCGAAGAAAGCGAGTAGGAAAGCGAAAACAACAAAATCAAAAGTGTCTTCCGATAGTATTGTAAATAATGTTGCTGCGAAGACAGTGTCGGAACAAGAAATTATGACGATGCCAACGTTAATTTTATGTTCGGAAAAAGATGTCGAAACATTATTGCAAACAGAAACTCAATGTTAGTATGGAATATTTTCCTTCAATTACTGCTTTAATTCTTAGCTTATTTATGTTTATGCAATCAGCATGTAATTGAATATATAATCATTTAACAATCTACACTGCTTTTTAGACAAATTCAATAGACGAGCTTTCGTTAAATTATTTTTTAATAATAATATTGGTCAATGTTGAAATATTAACGATTTATTATTCTGCTACTTTCACGCAATATTAAAAATTCATAAGAATTCGTTATTCCATATGCAATATTTATTAGATCCGTAATATATTATTAGATTATTACAGTTGTTCTTATTATATTATTTGAAGAGATATGTGCATGTAATAAAAAACAAAAACAAAAACAAACAAAAAAAACAAAAACAAAACAAAAAAACAAAACAAAACAAAAAACAGTAACGTCTTATAACGTTACCAAAGTCCTAGTATTTATGTATTTCATATGCAAGATAAGCATAGAATCCACTAATATGTTGAATTTTCAGGTCCAAAGTCATATATTCCAATCGCTCCGAAACCCACCATCGGCTCGACAACGGAATCTCAACCGACAATTTATCTGCGGACAGTGAACGTTCCTCGCCATCTCCTCAGCTCCGCGCAGATCGAAGCCTCTACCAAACCCAATTCCTTATTGCTGCAGCAGACGCTCCAGGTACAACGATCCACACCAAAGATAATCGCTCCAGCCCCCATTGACGTCACCTCCACCGTGGAATCCATCACGTTATACGGAGGCGAAAACGAGAGCACGGCGATGAAGGTGTCGCCGATCACGAGTATGCCGGTGATCAGCCTCGACGACGCGACCATTGACCTGGGCAGTGGCCTATCGTCCTTGTTCAAAGCCGAGGAAACGAAGTCGGAAAAGCCAAACGAGCCAGAAGTCAGGAGCGAAGTCACGAGCGAAGTTAGGAGCGAAATCACGAGCGAAATCACGAGGGAAATCACGAGGGAAATCACGAGGGAAATCGCCAGCAAAATCACGAGCGAAGTCGATAAAGAAGCCGAGAAAGCGGAAACGGCAAAAGCTAAGAAAGCAACAGCCGGCGACGAGGTCATTGTCAAAACCACGCCGCGAACGTTACTCAAGTCTCGTTCAAAGAACAACAGGCTAAGTCTCTCGACCCCGCGCCGGCGCAACAGCCACGTGCGGGCCCTTGACTTCAATACCCCGATGAAGATGTCGGGCGGTGTGAGGAAAAATCCACAGTCCTGTGGCAAATCCAAATCGACGTGTCGCGCGGGCCTATTCAGATCGCCGTCGCTCGGATCGGATAGGAACGCGGAGCCAATGAGGCCGGCGTACATGCGAGTGCCGATAGCGACAAGGAGCCCGGCACCGAAGCTGCAGGGCAATTGGAGCAAGCTCACGGGCATCGGGCTTATCCTCGGTGACGCTTCGACGAGCGAGAGCAGCTCGCCGGAAAAGGTCCAGGCGGAGGCCCCGCCCGTGGTCGCGAAGAAGAGCTGGGACAGCGACCTGAGGAAAATCGTCGGCAACGCGGTGACACTGAACGAGGCCAAGGACCCTCCGAGGATCGCGAGAAAGGCCAGGAGAAAGGGCACGGTAACAAAGACGAACGCGAAGACGATGTCTCGGTCAAAGGTCCAAGAGTCCGAGGTTGTGGCGAAGGCCACCACCAACCCAGTGAAAATCTCGCCAGAGACGAGCGCCTGTTCGGCGTCGTTGCGCTTTCCCGACATGCTCGACCTTGAAACGCCACGCAAGACCGAAGTGACATTTTACGTGCCGCCAACGCCACGGTTGCTCAACACCCCTGGCGACAGTCTCATTAAATCCAGGCGCTCCAAATTCAATGACGAGGTCAAGATCAAGGACTGCGTCGACACGCCCGACTTCCCCGTCACGCCCTGCATCATCCTCACACCCAAGATAATGGAGGAGGAGCACGAGAAGAAGTCCTCGCCCTATTACGAGCCCTGTGACGATCAAACTCAGCCGATCAAGCCGAAAGAAGTGGTAAGTTTGTTTAACAAGCATCTTTATACTGGCTTATTTGCCTAGCGATGATGATGATGATGATGATGATGATGACGAGAACAAACGAGAGAGAGAGAGAGAGAGAGAGAGAGAGAGTGGGTAAGCGAGTGAGTGCAACGTCCCCAATGGGTGCGAAGGTATCTTGTCGGTGCGGCAAGCCTTTTGCGATAAGAACGACAATTTTTATTTTTCCTCGATCGGATAATCAATTGCTTGGGACACAAGTAACTAGCCAATGTCTTAATTAATTAATTAATTAATCTATTTATTTATTTATTTATTATTTATTTATTTGCTTCTTTATTGTTCTTGCTTACTAATATAAGATAAATTGTGTGTACCGATGTGATATTAGATAGAGTTACCGAGTATCGTGACAATAAATGTTGGTGCAACGTGGCTTCGTTCGCACCGAGTTCTTTGGCACGAAGTCGGAAATAATGAAGAAAGAGAAGAGTTGAATTTCAATAACGCATAGACGTCACGTCGAGGTGGAAGCTTCGTTCCCAATAATCAAAGGCTAACAGCGTAAGCGTAACAAACTGTCGCATATCATGACAAAGCAATGTCACTAATGTAGCACGAAAAGCTCGTCTATTGACAGCGACGCAAATAATTTCGTGTCGTTTGAAACGGCCATCGATAGTCAATTGACACAATAAGCGGGTAAGCCAAAGTACTTGGGAATACCTCGGAGCTGCATGCGATCCTGGTGGAGCCTCGTAAAAAGCCAAGCTGCGAACAGTCGTTTGCGTGTTAAGTATAGCGACGAAGACATAGAAAACGGAATATTTCCCCCGTCTATCATTTCTCGTCTCTTATAATAGTGAAACGTTCAGTGTAGATGATATGATGCGTACGCAATCAGCTTTATCGACTCGAACCGAATACGATTGAACACGCGATAGAGCGACGAAGGACCTATGAGCTTGTTCACCTTAATTAACGGCCCCGTACACGCTCTCGATTGCGCTGTTATTCCGATAAAAGCCCCGACTGAGAGCAAGTGCTTATCGGTGATCACGGTACACCGGATTTTAAAAATTTCAATGGAGCTAGAGGGTAAAGGCTCCTCGGGAACGACTATCCCGACGCAGTCGTAATGCAGATAGATGGGCGAGACGATGGATGGCAGTTATGCAGGCATATGGGTAGCGATTATGCAAACATTGGGAGCTGCTGAATAAGTGGTTGCGCGCGTCCATTTTATAAAGCGCCTTGTATTTTATAACGAGAAATTAATTGAAAATTAATGGCACGAGTATTGTAAGGCAATGCCGTAATTTCATGTAACTTTCGGATAAAGTAGAGTGACGTTACAATCATTTCCCGGTAGTTATAAAGTAGGTGAAAGGGTAATTGGAAGGGACTCGCGAGAAACGAGAAGGTCGAATGTTCCCTACAATGTTAAACTTAATTTATTGAGATTAATAAAGATGTTTAGGTCTAAATCATAATGATATAAACGGATGGTCGAATTAAGTTCTTATTTCATATCTAAGAGACGACTACTGATACTATTCCAAGTCGCTATGTAAAACTTTTTTTCTCCTCAAAGAGCGTACTTTCCAATAATTCACCTGTTGTTTGTAAGTCCAAGATGGGCCTTTATAAGCTCACATAATAGTCTTGTACCATTGTAATGCCAGCTGTTATTTTATTATGACGATCGACGTATGATAAAATACGGTAGAAAGTGAATAATATCCTGTTAAGATTTCATCAATAATTGTCTCGTATAAAAATATAGAAAATTATTTTTTCATGTCAGCTGAGTTTATGAATAAAGTATTATTCGTCCTTCGAAACGAATCTCTTTGCAGTTAAATAAAGTCGAAGATACAACAAAATACATTAAATGAAATTATTTATACTATTTCAAAATATTAATAATTTCTCATTTTAAAGTGAATTTTTTTTATTATTATTATTATTATTATATAGCATAATAGAGTTCCATTGTACTTATCGAAACAGTGTGAAAGTGTACTTTATGTCGAAGCGAATGAGTGAGAAACGAAGATTGAAAATTCTACGACGTCAACATAACTAACTCATTGCTTTATATTCCTATTTTGTCAATCTTACTGTACTTTCGTTTTATTTCCTTCTTTATTCGTCGATCAAATTCATTATTTCATCGATACAAAGTCTTTGGATCAACGATTTTTTTGTTTTTTTTTTGTTTTTTTGTTTTTGTTTTTTTTTGTTTTTTTTTTTATACGGTAATTACATAAAAGTCTCTAAAAAGGAGTTTTCACTACGAGTTAGCAACTTGGGAAATCGATCGATTTCGTTCATTTACTAGCATAATCTCTTGATACGAGCATCCACGGTAAATTCTGTCGACGTAACTCCATGTACGTAATAGTTGGACAATTGCGATTCATCATTCGTATCAATCATAACGAATAAAATCGACAACAATTTAGTATTACATTGATAAGCTTAAATTTTACGCTTATAGCAACATTTTATTAATTTATAAAATGTAAATTCCATTTTAATTTCTAACAAAGGGATGTCGGTAAGATGCCAATATTCAAAATACCAATATTCATTTCTATTAAAAACACTTTGTATTTTAAAAATTTTCTGAACGCCAATATTGATATTTAACACGTTTACTCTCGTTACAGGTGGAGGGAACAGCGCTGACGAGAACCTTTACGACGACGACGATGACGACGATGACGACGACGACGACTACTACTACTACTATTACTACGACGACGACGACGACGACGACGATGACGGCGACAGCAATTGTAGCGATGACTGCGTCGACAATAACAGCGGCTTCAGCGACAACGGCGTCGATAATAACAACGACAGTAGAAAAAACAATCGTAGAACAAAAGGAGAACAGTAAAGTCGAATTGACGCGAGAAATTGAAAAGGAAGATATTTCAATAGAGACGGAAGAAAAGGAAGAGGAGCCAACGTCGGAAGAGACTTCAAAGGAGCTCATCGAAGAGGAGAGCGTAGAAGATACGAATGCTTCCGACTCGGATAGTGGTAACGAATCCTCGGACTCCTCGTCCTCCTCTTCCTCATCCAACAGCTCGTCATCGAGCTCCTCGAGCTCATCCAGCTGTACGAGCGTCGCCACGTCGTCGCCCGTAAAGTCATTCATCATCGTCGGCGAACAACGTAGCGCCAATGTGTCATCCGAGTCGAAGATCGATAGTCCCGACCGAGTATACCGAAACTCCTTGAAGAACAATTTGGAGGAGTTTCACAAAATTGAGGATGAAAATTCGCCAGCAAAAATGGAAAAAGCTATTGTCTTGGCCCAAGAAACCCCGGCGAAAGACGAAGGTAACGTCATCCCCGAGTCAGATATATTCGAGACACCTAGCGCCTCCGAGTCGGAGCGCGCGCTGCGCCGTGACTCCCTCGCGGGTCTTACCTCCAAGATCTCAGCTATTATCACGACTTCGAGCAACGAGCTGTCCGTCGTCAAGCCGAGTGAAGACGCCTGCGCCGTTTCTTCCTCGGAGCGTCCTTCGGCGAAACCGAGAATCCTCAGTGTGCAGAAAATCGTCGCTGGCGATGGCATGGCCCTGCAAATGTCGAGAATGTCACAGGCGGAGAGGCAAAAGAATTCTGGTTCAACGGTGCAGCAGCAACAACAACGACAACAGCAGCAGCAGCAGCAGCAGCAGCAGCAGCAGCAGCAACAACAACAACAACAACAACAACAACAGCGACAGCAGAAGCAACAACAGCTTCCTATTAATAATTCGAAGCTGAGTATGCAATTGGAGGAGAAGCGCCGCAGAGTGATGGCGAAATTCAAGGAGGCAGCCGATCAGTCGAAGAAAAACGTCGACGAGGCCAGACAGAGAAAGGCGCGGAGAGGCATCGAGGCGGAAAAACTCGTCACCTCGTCCACTGACGGTTTCAAGGGCAAGGCCAAGGAGAACCAAATGGCCGAGGTAGTTGCGAAGGAAGTAGCACCGAAGCAGCTTGCCAACGAAAAATCCGAGGATACGAAGCACGAGGAGGAGGCGGAGGAAGAGGAGGAGGAGGAGGAGGTGGAGGAGCAGG